TTAATTCCACTGACTGAAAAAGAACAGCAGTTTGAAGTCCCCTAGAACAAGTAGAGCTGAACTTCCAGCCTTTTATCAAGATTGCCAGCACATGTGTACAGAAACAGGTGTGTTTATCAGGCTAAGAAGCATTAGTGGATCCAGTTCCATACGTGGAGATCATGTCAGTTGAAAAGTGATTCCCCTCCCAAAACAGAGCAGGTTGTATGCAAGCCACCATTCGACCAGACACCCAGAAAGTGACAGAATGCATGGGGCAACTGCACTCCAAAATGCTCTTCATTGTATTTTAATTGTGCCATTTGAATTCTCAAATCCCAGTAAGTCTACATTCCTATCATGGGCTTAGCAAGAGAGACAGTAGAGATCAGCTGCCTGTAATAGGAAACCATTACCAGATAGAGGAATGCCCAAATTCAAGAGTTCTTACCATGTATAGAGTGGATTTTGAGGTTTTTTATTTTGAGTTGTCTCTCTGGTGGGAGTTTCAAGTTATACTTGTTTTTCAGGATCTCATAATACCCAACATACCTACTCTGTAATGCAAAAAAACCCAGACACATTATGCAGTTTCTATACCCCACACAGACTAATCCTAGGCAGAAGTAGGATTAAGTAGATTTTCTACTCTAAGTTCTTAGCTCTCCTAAGTCCAAAGCCAAGGAGAAAGTAGCCGTTTGTTCTCCTTCCCCTTCCCAGTTCAAACAATCCTCTAGACAAATTCAACAGCTACATTTTTAAGCAGTATTTAGACTTCATGTTCTAAGAGGAATTCTGTACTTTAGTTCAGCAAGAAATAAGAAGCTTTTATATTGTAGCTTTTTAAGGGGCAGCATGTTTAAAAGTACAAGATACTTTCATTTTACAGAAGCACATTCTGAAGGATAGCTGTACTTCCATTCTATTTTATGCCAGCAACTAAAGTACCTCTGTCACAGCTTCACCTCAGACCTCCGAATCACACAGTACCCAGTGAATCAAGATGAACAAAGCCCCAAACTGTGATCTGAGTTAATAACTTGTTTAGTATTTCCTTGTGAAAACAGTGTCTAGAGGATCCATTCCTCCATCCAGCCACATCAGTGCCATAGCCTCTCCCCAGGCCAAGCTGCAGGCTTCAGTGCATCCTTGGTAAACAGCCCAATTGTCTTAGAGGGTCATGGTCCTGTGAGGGTGCCTGGAGAGGCTGCAGAGTCTCCATCCACAGAGATATTCTAGGCCTGACTGGACACAGCCCTAGGCAACCTGCTCTAGCTCACCCTGCTTGAACAGTGGGGTTGGACTGAAAGCTCTCCTATCTCAACAATTCTATTATCTTAGACACTGTAATTCAGATTTGATGCTATTACACAGAGAAAGGCATAATGAACATGCTTGGACAAAGTGGAGGGGGGAAGATGCAGTGCAACCCTACCAGTTGATAGTCTTCCAACCCTTAAAGAAAGGGTACAGAAAGTTCAGGAGTTAAGCATGAAACAGGAGCCTACATCTCTGAAACAAGGCAGGGGAGGTGGGGTCATGTAAGCACTCACGAGGCTACTGCTAGTTTGGCTGCCGTTACTGGAGCTGCTCAAGCTTACCTGGGATGGAGTTTCAACTCCCTGAAACTTGGTACTTGTGCTTCTATCAGTTCTTCTCTCCCCAAAGTAGTCCAAACTTTCCTATGTAGAAAGATAATTTCAACAGTTAAGATATTCATCCCGCCACCACTTGCCTTCCTGTAAAAGGGACAGTAAACTAAATTTACACTAGTCAACTCCAGTGAGGGAATGCAAGTGAAAACATGCAATAGTTGTTTCGGTACTTTCTAAAGGAGGCTTTTAACTAGAATAAGAAAGCACCAATTAAGAAATAACATACATCAGTCTATCATCCATGCAAAAGTGGGAGAGCAATATGCTTTTTAAGCAATTGCTTTAGAATCATCTATATTTCTCAAGTGGTCTGTGGCAGACCAAGCTGAACATTAGTTCAGGTCTTCACAAACCAAACTCAGAAGAATACAAGTGATTAAATGGATAAACAATCTGCCCAGACTACCCTGAGTGACCTGGGTCTTCTGCAACTCAGGTCTCCAGACTGATCTACCAGACCTGGGATACTAAAGCAGCACGTACATCTGTTCTGGCTGGGACAAGGGAAAAAATTGCTTGAGACCACTTAAAAACAGTGATGCTATCTTTAGTACAGCATGCTCAGAAGCCACCTACAGTTTAAGAGGGTTGTTGCTCAAGATCCTAGGTCTATTATGCCTCCAAGAAGAGTGCTTTAAGGTCGGTATCCTCTTAAATTCTACTTTCCCAGTTCTTCCTAATCAAGAATAGTCATCAGAAAGGAATTTACATAGTAGCAAGATTTGCAAGAACTTTTTTAGAATAGATTGTCCACAGTATCCTTTTTCCAGAACAGATTTCTTAGGGAGTATTAGTGCATTTCACAAATTAAGTAGATTAAGTGGCATTTGAGAGCACTAAAAGAATCAAAAAAATAAACACCAGTTTTTACCTTTGCACTCTCAAACTGGTCGCTGTCTATGAGCCAGGTACAGACCATTGTTCCAGTCCTGCCTGTATGAGAAGTAAGAGACTGGTTGAACTACAGGAGTTCAAAAGTATTTGGGGTTATTTTTGTGATGATGAAGTTCTCTTCTACTTAAAAAGTTATAGGTGACAGTAGTCAGGTGCCTGTATTTCTGGGGAGAATGAGTTAGAGACAAGATACTGCAGTTTGTTAACTTGTTCCTTGAAAGTGGTCCCCACATTTCTTTGTAGCATTACTCTCTAGTAATGCAGCCATGTAGGAAGCTGGCCAGCATTGATATACTCCATTCAGCAGGGGATAGTCATTTAGTACACCCTACTAAATGAAGCTATAAACTGGCATTTGCCAATGCTATAAGATTCAAGAGTTGCTTCTCTGCCCCAACATTTTTCCCCCAATGCGCTAAGGCAGCATCAAGACTGCTAGCACAAAGGCTCCAATATAGTCTCAGATTTTAATTTAAAGTCTCAGAGGTCAAGTCACCCCTCCCTACACTTGCTCTTCAAGCTGGTTTTGGCCTGCAGGTAGTTTCAGTGTTCAGTTTTGCCAAACCTTTTAAGCTACAGTTCCAACTGTGGGAGACTTCTTTATGTTAAGTAACCATCTGGTTAGAGCCAAGTACTGGCAGTAGTGACAGCAGGCAGCTAAAGATGTGGCAGACATTCACAGGGAAATATGGTTTATTTGCACAGCTATCTACAAACTTCAAGAGCTCCCACACTGCTACAGGTTGTGGATAGCACCTGCAGGTCAGCTCACATGCAATAGCTCTGACTAGCCTGTTCCTATAAGACTACATTGTACTCTGCCACTAAAACCATGTGTATCTTTAAGATCTAGCAATACCTAGAACATTCTAGCAGGGGGAAGGTTATGGAGCACATCATCTGAGCACCATCACAGAGCACGTACAGGACAACCAGGTGATCAGACTTAGTGATGACCGACTCAGTGGACAGGGTGAAAAAGGCTGTGGATGTTGTCTAACTGGACTTTAGTAAAGCCTTTTCCTGGAGAAACTGACTGCTCATGGCTTGGATGGGTGTACTCTTTGCTGGGTAAAAAAAAACCACAAACTGGCTGAATGGCTGAGCCCAAAGAGTGGTGGTGAATAGAGTTAAATCCAGTTGGCGGCCAGTCACTAGTAATGTTTCCCCAGGGCTCAGTTTTGGGGCCAGT